TCACATTCTGGGAGTTTAAACCTTGCCTCCCCTTTCAGGGGTCTCACTGTGTCTTTTACTTTTCACAATTCTTTTACTTTGTTTCTAAGCTTTTCTGTTAACCTGTCAGAACTATCTCAAAGGAAGGTTATTCCTTGTGCACTTCATTGGAGGCAATTCAAACTTGACATACAGTTGAGGACTGCAAGACAAATCCTTCTGTGCCTGCTTGCAACTAGTTAACAAGGAAATCAGTGCACATGAGCTGTAACGTTCAGCTACTGCCTGGAGTAGAAACAGGTTCAATTTTAACCAGTGATCCAAGCAGCACCTGGTGACTGATGAGGGAAATGACAGGGTTGGGGAGCTGGGCAGGAAGGTTCTTCATACAGGTCTCCTCTCAAAAATCCTGCTTTTTTTGTGTATGTCCAGACATCATCGGGTGACACTGTAAGAAGTGGAGAATGTGGGTATGACTCCTTATGAAAACTGAGGAATAAAGAAGGCTTAAAAAGCAGCCTTCTGTCTTTTTTTCAGGTGCCTAATGAATTTTAACTTCAACACAGTCTTAAAAACTCTCCAGTGAGCCAAACAAGAACTGAAGCTCGAAGAACACTATGGCAAGAGGCGTTGGCTCCTGAGGGTTTTGCATCTTAATATCCCCTTGGGACATTTTTTGGTACTTTGCACATGGACCTCCAATTCTGGGAGGAACCTGAAGAAACCTCTCAAGAAGCTAAAGTCAGAAGCAAATCTTCAAGTTTCTAGGAGGGTTAATGAGCTGATTCGAGCAGAAAGCTGGAGGCCCTGATTGCAGGTAGGCAAAGGCAATGTGCAGGTGCCTCTGATGCCAGGTAAACCCTTCTTGTGTGTTATCAAGCAGATGGGCCAGGCACAGGTGCCCAGTTCCTGAGCAGGTGGATCCTATCCATCATACTTTGCCCAGGGCTCTTGGTGGGGACAGTGTTCCAGGGCAGGACACCAATAAAGCACATCGTGTTTCTCTGGGGGAAAGCAGGCAAGGAGGACCTCTTGCCATCAGGAAGAAGCTTCTGCTCTGAGGCCTCAGTGGCAGAGCCACTAGCCATGGCTAAGATAACAAAGACCTGGTTCTTTTGGAGGTTTTCAGCTGTGCCAGTGCCCTCTGCCGTCTCCTCTTCAGATTGTTCTGCACTTTCCCATGCCTGTACTTGTTTTCCTGCAGCTTGTAGATAACCAAGCTGCTTTCCTACCTTGTCCTCACTGCACGATCTCTTCATCTTCCCCAATGTCTCTCTGCCCTCCCTGGCTGTTCTTTGAAACAGAAGGCCCTGTGCTGATCTCGGGTCTCCTCTGGGTGACCTGTATGACCTGATATAGTCCTATTTCTGTCAGAAATACACCCATGGTCGCAGAGAAGCTGAAGTTTTTCCCTAAGGTGAACAAGGGAAGACCTGGAGTGAAGAAAGTAGAATGCAAGAATCATTCCGGCTGTGAGAGTCCTCAGGGCAGCCTGGCTCCATCTTCTTGGTTCCATCCTGGTAGGAATGGGGAGACTGTTATTAGGTCGGCCCACAGCCTTCTCTTCTCCAGACTGAAGAAATCCAGCTCCCTCAGCTTCCCATAGTGACAAAGACAGACCTGTGTGTGCCCTGGATGTTAATGCCTCTTCCAGCCTTGGAATCTTTTTTTGTCTACAAAAGACCTTAAGAGTGCCAGAGTGAAGTTGCTCAGGACTGATTCAAGTCCTTGCTGCCTGCTTCAGGCATATTCACAGAACCATAGAATCACAGAATGGTTGAGGTTGGAAGAGATCTCTAGAGGATCTCTGGATCATCTAGTCCAACACTCCTGCTCAAACAGGGACACCTAAATTACACTGCACTAGGTTGTATCCAGCCGGATTTTGAACATCTCCGGAGAAGAGACTCCACAACCTCTCTGGGCAGCCTGTTCTCGTGTTCTGTCACCCCCACAGTAAAGAAATTCTTCCTCATATGGAGATGAAACTTCCTGTATTTCAGTTTGTACCCATTACTCTTTGTCTTATTGCTGGACACCACTTAAAACAGTTTGTCCCCATCCTCTTTACATTCTCCCCTCAGGTATTTGTACATGCTGATGAGATCTCCTCTCAATCTTCTCCAGGCTGAACAGGCCTGACTTGCTTAGTCTTTCCTTATAAATTAGATGCACGTTATTCATGTGCCCAGAAAGGGAGGACTTTCCTGACGGACTATGGACTGAGCCATGAGCCAGCAATGTGCTTTTGTGATCTGCAGAAGAGAAGGCAGAGAGAGGATCTTAGCAGTGTTCCCAAATACCTGAAGGGAGTGTGCTGAGAGAATGGGTTCAGATGCTTTCAGTGGTGGGCAGTGATGTGATAAGAGGCAACAGTCACAAATTCAAGCACAGGAAGTTCTGTCTGAATTTCAGGGAAAACCTCTTGAGTGTGAGGGTGACAGAGCATTGGCAGAGATTGTCCAGAGAAGTTGTGGAGTCTCCTTCCCTGGAGATATTCCAACCAATCTGGATGTGATTCTATGCAACATGGTCTATGTCACCCTGCTTGTATAGCGTGGTGGGGTGCCTTCCAACCTCAAGCATTCTGGGATTCTGTGGGCTCTCCTAAGGTCCTAGCGTCCCTCATCAAGGCTTTCTTGACTGCAGTGGGGTGGCAGGTACAAGGCAGAGACGGGCAGTGAGGTCAGCTGGTCAGAATTTGAGAGGTACAGGGCCAGGCTCTGCCATGCCCATAGCACGATCAGGCCAAGGACAAAGGCAGCAGCTCCCTGGTAAGGGGGATGAGGCCCAGCAATGGGGCTGATCACTCTCTCTTCCCTGCTCTTGTGCACAGCAGCTCCCTTCCCTGTCTGCCTGCAGCCTGTCCAAGCCCACCACACTGCCCAGCCCAGCAGAGGACCCCCGGTCCTGCAGGCCCTCCAGCAGCTCCTGTCCCAAGCTGGGGCACAGAGAAACCTGGCTCTCCTTCGCATTTTCTATCTCGGGATGTTGCCCTGCTTCTCTCCTGGGACATCTCTGCTCCCCAGAGAGCCTTTTCCCAGATCAATGTCCCCGTTGCTGGCTGGGCTGTTCCTGCACCTGCCCTGTGCTGGTGGTGCTGCTTTGCAGAGTGAGCAGCTGTGGGACTATGGTCCCTGGTAGTCAGAGAGAGAAGCAGAGCCAGTTTGGCTGGGACTGCCACCGCCAATACTGGTGACACACGACCCCAGAGTGTTTGCAATAGCAGGAGATGTGTTTGGGTGGGCACTAGCTCCCACCTCTGGTGTTTCACGGAAGGATTCATCCTTCAGTGCCGCCTCCCTTGCCCTCTTGGGTTCCCACTGCCTCTCCAAGGACTGATAGCCCTCCTTTTCCCATGTGCACCTTGATTTAAAGCTCTGCCTTCTGGTTACTCCATAGTGGACCATCCCTCATTTTGTGAGGTTCCACTCACAGCCCTCACCTGGGCTGTGGAGCTCTTCTAGGCTCTCCTGGGGATCTCCTGGAGATTCTCTTCCAAAAGGATGGAAGACAACTCCCATCAGCACTGTCCCCTATGAGACAGCCTGCTGAAGGTGATTCAGAAACCATTTCCCATCTCCATTGGCACTGGTCACTGAGAGATGAACTCCGAGTGCTGCCCTTGGTCTCTAGGAGATCACACAGATCAAACATCCTTGAAGCTCGTCCCCTAGAGCCTATGTGGTTCACAAGCAGAACACGAGACCTCTTTGAGATCCATCTGTGAAGAAAGGCTGAACTTGAGGCAAATCACAGGGGAGATGTGTGGGAGGATATCTAAGTAACAGAGGCTTACCGATAGAAGATGGATATGATGACCTGGACTAGGACCAAGGCGAAAAGATCGTGGGAAAGTCACCAGCTGGAAGAACAGAGAAGTAGGAGAGGAAGAACCTGTAAACAAGATTATCAGTGCAGAATAGAGGACTGTGTGCGGGCCAATTATGTAAATGCATGCCCCAATATCTACAGCCAACCAAGTATGGTAGAAGACGCGTGGACAGTAGTGTGTAACCAATCGCAATGTAAGCATACGCATGGCTAGATGATTTAGCAGAAATGTATTAGATAAATAGAGTGCTGTAAAGTGAATAAAGCGATTTCTGTGTGACTCATAGTAAAGCCTTCAGGAGTCGTGTCTGGCCTCCTGCAGAGATGCTCTTTAGTTATGGGAAATGTTCTTGTGGAGGCCAGATCTGGCATAAGGGTGCCCAGGACCCAGTCCTGCCTGACATCACAGAAACGCACCAGGAAGCACCATGTTACAAGAGCACTTAGAGCAAATAGACACAAGAGAGCACATCAGGACAGTGTGGAAATGAGGAGAAGAGCCTTGAAAAGAGAGAGAAGAAAAAAGTCCTGTTGGTGGTGGTGGATATTTTGCCAGGAAAGCTGCATCCCCCATTGAAGGGTCCGCCAGGAAATGCCTGCTGTGGCAGTGTGGGGATGGCCCTGAGCAGCAGAGCTCTGTCCCCACAGGCTGCATCCAGCCTCTCCTCCCCTCCACTCATGCTCCACTTGGAGTGTTGGAGCAGTGCAGAGGGAAGGGACCAGTGCAGGGCAACAGGTGGCTATGAACTCCAGGGGAGAGCAGGTAAAATCACCCCCTGACTATGGCTAGGGGAGCTGAGTTCTCCTTATAGACACAGGAGCCAAGGTCTCACGCTGTCTGTACTCGTGGGAGCCTGACTCTGTGCCCCTGAGTTCCCTTGGAGTCAGTGCTGCAAGAGACACTGCAAAGGGAAGCTCTCCTCACTGCATGGGAGGCATCTGAGGTTGCTCAGAGCAGCGGGCTCTGACTTTCCCTCCTCTTTGCTGGTGAAAGGGGAAGCCTGGCATCCTGCTTCAACATGGTCCCTGTGGCAGATTCAAACAAAACATTCCTGCGGAGAAATGGCATGAACCAGAATATATATTTTTCCTTTACTGGAATATAAGAGAAAAAAGGCAATAAAGAAATAAATGAACAACACATATCCTTAAAGCCAAACCCTCTGGGACAGATCTTGTTGCTGGCACTAGACCTGCTGGACAAGTTTCCTTAGGGCATTCTTGAGCTCCTCATTCCTTAGGCTGTAGATGAGGGTGTTCAGTGTTGGAGGCACCAGAGAGTACAGAACGGCCACAACCAGATCCAGAATTGGGGAGGAGATTGAGGGGGGCTTCAGGAAGGCAACCAGGATATTGCTGACAAAGAAGGAGACCACGACCAGGTGTGGGAGGCATATGAAAAAAGCTTTGTGCTGGCCCTGCTCAGAAGGGATCCTCAGCACAGCTCTGAATATCTGCACATAGGACAGCACAATGAAAATGAAACGCCCAACGCCTAAACAGACACTAATCGCAAGAAGCCCTGCTTCCCTGAGGTAGGAGAATCATAAAAGAACTGCTCCACCACGTTGCCTTGTCAAAGCGGAATGGAAAATGTGTTCGCAGTGTGCAGGAGAGCAAGGAGAAACCCACAGGCCCAGGCAGTTGCTGCCATTTTGACACAAGCTCTGCTGCCCAGGAGGGTCCCAAAGTACAGAGGTCTGCAGATGGCAACAAAGTGGTCATAGACCATGACTATGAGGAGAGAAAACTTTGCTGAAAACAAGATTGCTAACAGGAACATCTGGGCAGCACATCTCGAATAGGAAATGGTCCTGTTGTTCCGAAGGGAATTGCTCATGGATCTGGTGGAGATGTTGCCAAGGTCGAGGAGGGAGAGGACAAGGAGGAAGACGTACATGGGGGTGTGGAGGTAGTGGTTATAGGCTACCGCTGTGATGATGAGGCCATTGGCCAGGAGGGCAGCCAGGTAGATTCTCAGAAAGAGTGAGAAGTGCAAGAGCTGCAGCTCCCGCCTGTCTGTGAATGCCAAAAGGAGGAACTCATTGAAGGAACTGCTGTTGGACATTAGTTCCTTAGGGGCACAGGAGTGCTGTCCAAGGAAGGAAAGAAAGCCAAAAGATAAAGCAGGCTTCTCTGAGCTAAACTATTTCAGTTTCTCAAGGAACTCCCCATATTTCCTCTCTCCCTTACTTCAGCTCCCATTCTGGTGCTCCACTTTGAACTGGCTGAGTGTGAGACGTGCAGCAGGGAGCCCTGCTCATGGCTCCAAAGGAGTTGTTTCTGCTGTGCTGCAGGTGGAAATAGATACATGAATCTTTGACTGGTATTTGTGGAGATGCCTTGGAAAGGCATATTGTATTGCTTGGAATGGACTTAGTCCAGATACCAAGTGGGAATATTCTCCATTCACCAGCACAAGAGCTGAATACAGCTCTCACACCAGTTGTGTCTGAAGGAGAAGAGCTTTGTGAGGGATTTGTCCCCATCAATCTTGCCCTCCTCAACAGAGATATTTGTATCTGAATCTGCCGCACCAGATCTCACTCAACAAGGGAGAACAACAGTCAAAAGGAAACAAGGATAGACCTTACCCTTTCTACGTGTCGAGATGTCTAGAGATAGACGTTGTCCTCATGCCTCTTTTAACCATCTGCACCCTTATTCCAGGCACTGCAGAGTGAAGAAGTACCTTTGATGCACACAACCTGCAGGAGACGATGTCCACCCCTTCTATGGCAGGGCTCTTCAACATTTGCAAATCGAGTCTTCTCTGCAAAAGGATAAGTGGAAAAGTCTGTTGATATATGTGTGCATATAAATAATATATATGGTGGTGCACACACAAACACACAAAGGTGCCTCCTCATTGTGGTAGAGCAGAAATCTTTGGCGTTTCAATCGTTCTCAGCATGAACTCTTGTTCATCCCAACAGGAAAAAAAAAAGACTTGCTATGACTTTGTCATGGGACCTGCTTCATCACTGAGCCTTGCCTCTCACTGCTGTGTACTTGCACCTCACTCAGATGAAAGAACAAGGACACTCACAAGTGAGCTCCGTTCTCCCTGCAGAAACCTCCCAGGAGCAGGGGAGTGTCCGGGGGCACCCCCATGTCTGCATGTGCTAAGGAGCAGCTCAGATAAACCCTGATGCAGCAGCCCAGGAGAAGCTGGTGCTGTCTATGAACTAAGGGAAGGCGGAGGGCAAAGCCAGAAGTCCCTGGCAGACTCGTTGGCTGTCCTTGAAACTGTTAATGAGTCTCAATCTGCTGTCCAAATATGACAGTTTCATTTCCATTTTCCTCTTACCAGGTGGAAGGAAATTCTAAGAATCACCTTTCTGGCTTCTCTTTCAGGAAATGCCTGCCCTGCCTTTCCTTTTTGCAAAGTGCCCTCTGAAATGGGCTCACAGCTAGACCTGTGAGCAGATCTGAGCCCTGCACCACCCTCCCAGCAGGAGAAGGAGCCTGTCCTGGTAGAGTATGCTCCCACCCAGAACTTCTCCCCTCAGTGCTGTGAGGAGCAACTTGGGCAGGCTGAGTGCTGACCTTTGCAGGCAACAGAGTCACTGCTTTGGACACACAGCACCTTTAGGTGCAGGGGCCCTACTCTGAAGTGCAGACCTCTAACCCTGTCTGCACACCCCAGCTTCACATCACTGCTGTTTCTGTGGGTGAAGGCAGCAGGATGCCTTGCCCATAGGTGGTATGTTAGAGAATCCCTCCTCAGAAGCAGCTCTTCTTCCTCTGCACTGTAAAAGCCAGCAGAAAGAAGCAAAAAATGCTGCCAGCCATGGGGTGGGATGAGTTTTTATGTCCCCTTCAAGAAGCTCTGTAGCATTGTCCTGTAAGCAAAAACTCACCATGTCAAGAGCTGTGAATGTCTCCTCTGTCCTCTCACTCCACACTGCCATTCACCTCTCGCTGCCTTCTCTCCTCTCCTGTCTGCAGCAGCAGGCAGTGCCCGCAGCCTTGCTGCTCTTGGCACAGGACCTGCTCCTGCACACGGCTGTCTCTGGGCAGTGCTGCCAGGCTACCATGAGCTGCCTCCATCCCAAGAGCCTGGCCCTGCTCAAGAGCAGAGGCCCATCTGAACTCATGGATTTTCCTGTCCCTTGTGTTCCCACCTCCTGGGAAATGTTCACTGGACTAGATTGAAGTAATCACCTGTTGTCTCTTCCCATTGAGTGGAGAGCAACTATTTCCAACATTGCAAGTTCTTTCATCAGAGGATCACTGCCTATAAGAGCTGGAAATGTGCTCCTGTGGAACACCCGATTCTCATCTCTGAACTAGGCAGGACACCTACTTAGGACAAGAAGGGAGCTCCTTGACACATGGTTCGGGGATTGACTCAGATGAGTCAGTCTGGACATCTCATGCTGGTCTAGAAGCCACTGGTGTTCAGAAAACTCCTGTGAACTCCACAAGCAGGTTGTGTGATTCCCCTTGCCACAACTGAAGTGAGCACAACATAGAGGTCTGCAAGAGAACTCATTGTCTAAGCTGCAGTTTTAATCACTGGAGATGGAGGCTGGGAGTCACTTGATCACACACAAACACTCCCTGGTGACAGACTGGGGAGGTCCAAGGCATGTGCCAGTGCCCACTTGCTCTGATGCAGCTCCTGGGAGACCTGCATCATCCTAGAGGATCAGGGTGGGAGCCTCTGAGGAATTGCATTGCCCATCTGAAATGACCCCAGATGCCAAATACAATGGGAGCCCCAGGAAATATGAAGATGAGGCATAGAAAGATTCTAGCATTAAGCAGCAGCTCTGGTAATTTAGTGCAGATACTGGATTTGATGGCGTAGAAAAGTGCTGGCAGGGCTTTGTCAGATGCCTGGGGTGTCCAGCACAACCTCAGGTGTCTAGCAAATACAGCAGGGGACCTGCAGGAAAACCATGTACCCTTGGAGTGATTGCTGGGCAAGTGCCCCAGGGCATCCTGCATTTCTTATGCCCCAGATGATATGAACAAGGACTAGGCTAATGAGGGCCTCAGGGTGGATGGAGCACTGTCTGCCCAGGCCTAGGAACTTCAGTAACACCTTTGTTTTCCTAGAGGTTGCTTCAATAAATCTGCCGTCCCTCAGGCTAGGCAGGTGTGACAGTCACAAGTTCTCCGTGTGCCAAGCTACAACCCCCGCACACACACATCCATGGTCCCTATGGCACTGGCATGGCCTTTGGATGTCTGGCACCCCTTGCGTATCCCCTTTCCCCTGCTTATTGGCCTGATGGGACCAGCAAAGGTACTGCTGGCTCTGCCAACAGGCAGAGTGGGCAAAGACACTTTTGGAGCTTCCTTATAACCTGCTGGTCTGTCCATGGGCTTTGGAGTCTTCAGCCAGTGCCGTTGTGTTGGCCTTTGCTCTGGAACAGGCACAGTGATGCACAGATTCTGCCTCTAGCAGCAGCATCCCTGCACATCTGGGCATGCACTGATGCAAGAAGGAGAAACATGTTCTAAGGATTCATGATTTAATTGTGCATTTCATATACTATAATTCATATTGTTTTCATGTAACCTCATACCACCTCATTACAAGATGAAATTGGAGAGGACAAATAACAAAGGTCTTCCCCCTCTCCCCTTTTTTTTTCTCTTCTTTTTTATTTTATTTTTTCAGTGGGAGTTGGAGGAGGACTTGGAGCTGATTCCACAGCAGGACAGCAAGGCTGCAGGTTGTCGCATTTCATTTGGAAGAAGACTCTTCCCATCTGCTGACCTGATGGTCATCAACCAGCTGGCCAAGCTGGTAAGGACAACCTTAAATTGGGAGTGACTCAGGGCAGAGGAAGACTCCAGCAAGAGTGAGGAAGTGATGGCCTGGGATGGCAGGAAAGGTGGTGTGGATAAAGGATAAAGGAGGTAACTCTCTCTGAAGAGGGCAGTGGGATACAGGAAGCTCTGCTTAGGGATGGACAGAGATCCAGTCCGGTAAATAGGAATGAGGATTAGTGGGCAGAGCAAGAGCACTGGCCTTGTGTAGATCTCTGCTATGGATCTCTATAAAGGCATCATGATGGGATCCCCATGGTTTTCACCAAGACATAGTGATGGCATTTTTCTCCATGGTCTCCACCAAGGCATCATGATGGGGTTTGCCATGGTGTCCAGCAGGGCATGATGATAGGGTCCCCATGGAAACCACCAGGGCTTTGTGATGGCAGTGACATCATGCCCATAAGGCCATTGTGAAGGGGTGGTCCCCATGGTGACCATGCCCTTGTTGGGGACAAAGATCCCAGGCTCCCCACTCTGAGGAGCATGGCTCCATCAGGAGGGAGTGGTTCCCCTTGGTGCCACTGTCACATCCCCATGAGAGAATCCTGAACATGGACAAGGAGTGGCAGGCAAATGCCTGCTCCCAGCCCACAGACAGGCTCTCAGGCTTGCAGGAGAGCAGGAGCAAGGTGAGCAGTGGGGCTGAAGGGAGAGGCAGGCAGCAGGGATGGCACCAACATGGAGAGCACAAGGATGGTGTCAAAGGGGAGCTGGGATGAGGGGAGTGTTACGAGCTCTTCTGGGGAGGGCTCATTTATTCTTGGCCTCTTAATTGAGGTAGATTTAGTTTGTGCAAAGTTGGCCCCACCAAAACAGAGCATTTCCTTGAAGCTGGTCCCCAACTTTCCATACCAGTTAAGAGAGGATGACACCTCTGAATTCGATGTGCTCTGTGCAGAGAGTGAGGGGTGGCAGGGGCAGCTGTGGGCAAGGGGGCTTTTCTGAGCGCTGGGCTCTCAGTGGGACAAAGAAACCGCCTGCTTACTGGTATAGGTCTGATTATAACAGAAAAGTTTAGAAATTGTCTTTAAAAACAATGCTAGAGAAAAATTAAGGAATAGAATAAAAGCAAATAAATGCTTTGTTATACTTTTCTACCTTTTTTCATTGTTCCATGCCACATGTTCATGCCACACTAGACTTTGGCATGAACTTTTGTTCTTGAAAAGGGAAATGATTTTTGAGAAATCTTATGAAATACAACAAAGACAAGTGCAAGGTCCTGCACCTGGGGAGGAATAACCCCAGACACCAGTACAGGCTGGGGACTGACCTTCTGGAGAGCAGTTCTGCAGAGAA